TTATTATAAATAAGCATTATGGTCAAAATTTAGAGTTAAATCTAGCATCAAAATTTAGAGTTAAATCTACCAGGCTGCTGGATGTGTTGACAGATGATAGCACTGAGCTTAATCCCACTCACTAACATCCAACTCAGAGATTGCCTTCTGTTGAGGTGAGCCATCTTCCTTGGGATCACACACCTTTCCTGTGTGCAGCCTGCATCAAACGATCAATGTGAGGGTTTAAAGACCTGGCTGTCATTCTCCAGTTTGGGAGAACTCCAAAAGAACATTTCATGGGATAATCTGAGTCTTTGTTGTGACTACATTATAGCCCAACTTTTCCTTCTGCTTAATCCTACTTTCTTGATTTCCTCACAGGTCCCAAGAGCGCTCTTCAACAAACTTCCTGCAAGGAAATTTAGTCTCAGAATCTTCTTCCTGGGAAACTTGACCACTAACACAACACGTCTGTTAATTTTAAAACTCTTACTTCACCATAGCTAGAATGATGTCAAATCCCATCTATTTTTTCTTTCTCAAGCCTAGGCTAATACCACATTACCATATTAAGACCAGAAGACCTCATGTAGAAATGGAATCCTGCTATTAAGACTTAGTGCAATTGAAACATTAAAGTTTGGATTCCATACAACTTTTTATAACCTATAGAAGTAGTTTAACTCCATAATCCTTCCCTTTCCCTTACCTTCCACTCTAGTGTGACTCAGATGTTTCATTGTCAAACCCACAGAAACAATGACTTCTGCTTACAGAATGGAATAAAAGAATGATGCACTGGCCTATCTTAGAAATGGTTTGAAAGAGGGTGAACTTTCTTCAAATTTACAGAGATATGCTTTTAAAATTATTCATTGCTTTGATTTCTAGAGTACTTTTCTCCAAAGATTTGAAACTCAAAAGGTGTTTTTAACTTTTTCCTTTTTCTATTCTCTAGGTTTCTGCATGTAAAAGTACTGCAATTAGCAGTATGAGTCATATACATCCCACTTCCTGTTTTATTTTTCTCTGCTTAGAAAACCAGATACTTTCAGAAAGGTGAAATAAATAGGGCTGGTTCCAAACCCAATTGTGAAATAAAGTTTGTTCATGATGAGCTTCTTCCCTTTTGTGGTAGACTCTTTCTTTTTATGGCTTCTCTTCCCTCAACTCTGGGGCCTCTTCTGCCCATTACCAGCCTCCTGTTTATTCCTCAACACAGCATCTTTCTTCTTTACCCAGCTATCCCTGTTTTGCTGTTCTCTGTCCATGACCCAGAATCAATATGATGGCTTCCATGCTGCCTGTTGTCACTACAACTGAAATATCTCTGTTCCATAGCTTATCATCCAAGGCCAACTTTGCTTTCTTTCTTTTAAACAAACAAACAAACAAACAAACAAACAAACAAACAAACAAATAAATTTTATGGTGACATCGGGTAATGAAATCCAATGAGTTTCGGCTGTACACTTTAGTAGTAAGGCATATATATATATTTACATTGTGTGCTCACCCAACTTTGCTTTCTTAGGAGGTAACTTTGCCTAGCACACTTGTTGTTGATTTGTAAGTATTTAAATGAATGAATGAGTATATGAATAAACAAATTGCTCTCTTACTACACCACTTAACACCCATCCTACCCCCACCCACCCAAGGTGAATGTTTATTAATAGGGGTTTAATAAAGAAGGCATGACCAAACTAGGTGAGTTGGGTGAGAAATGTCATGGCTGTTGGTTGTTAGAGTATTGTATTAGCCATGTACTTCTGATATTTTGACATCTGGGGTCTTGCTAACCCTGGAGAGACTGTTCCTTCCAGGGCTAGACAATTTCTGGAGATAGTAAACATTTCACCTGCTAGGGTGTTTTTCATTATGCAAACCAACCAATCCAGAGCCCATACCCCAACCACCTCCTTTACTGAGTTCTCATAAGGCTCTCACACTCTGGGCCACCATCCACCTGCCCTAATCACCCCAGAACTAGGTTCTAGACAACTCAGGACAGTGCTTATGCCTCAGAT